AAAAAAAAAAAAGAAGAAGAAGAAAGAACAAGCAACTCAGTTAAAAGTGAGCAAAAGGTCTGAAGAAACCCATCAAAGAAGATATACAGAGGTCAAAAATATGGGAAAATATTCAACATCATTTATCACTAAGGAAATACAAATTAAAACAACAATGAGATACCAATACACTCCTATTAGAACAGCTGAAGTCCAAGAAACTGATAATAGCAAATGCTAGCAAGAATGTTTGGCAGCAGGAACTTTCATTCATTGTTGGTCAATAAAAAAAATGGTTCAGTCACTTTGAAAGACAGATTGGCAGATTCTTACAAAGCTACATATCATTTAACCATGTGATCCAGCAACCATGTTCCTATATATTTACCCAACCGATTTTAAAACATGTCTGCAATAAACCGTCATTTGAATGTTTATAGCATCTTTATTCATATTCTCCGGAAACCAAGGTGTTCTTAAATAAGCGATAAACAAATTGTGGAATATTTATACAATGGGATATTATTAATCAATGAAAAGGAGTAAGCTACCAAGCCATAAAAATACATGGATGAACCTTAAATAATACTGATAAAATTAAGGAAGCTAGTCTGAAAATGCTACATACTGTATGATTTTTATTATATGGCATTCTATAAGAAGCAAAATTATAGAGACAGTTAAAAGATCAGAAGGTTGACAGAGGTTCAGAAGACAGGGCAGAGGTTTGAATAGTGGAGCACATAAGATTTTTAGGGCAGTGAAACTATTTTGTATGATACTGTCATGGTAGACAGATGATGCTGCACATTTGTTAAAATTTAACAAAATTTCACAACACAAAAAGGGAAACAATGTAGGTCATATTAAAAATATTATTCGTATTGGAAAATTATGTTTTTTACAATGTTACCAGAATCAAGGCTCTGTTTGTTCCCCACAACACTTGCATAGAAAAATAAGATACTATTTTGTTTGTATGTTCTATATACAAACATTTTACACATTTTATCTAGATGTGTAAAAGTGTTTTTTTTAATCACATGGAATGGTTTTTCAATATTAAAAAGTGGAGGGAGATTTGTTTAAACAAATATTTATAAAAGAAATATGTTCATCATCCTGGAAATTATTTGTGATAAGGAAACATTCTTTACTCCTGTTGCATTTCTCAGGCAATAAAGTGGTGCATCCATGCTATGTCCTATTTTGTCAGCAAAGATACTATTTATCCTTTACATTTTTGTATCATAATAGATTTAAAAACTCTAATGTTGTTCATTGCAGACATTCATTTGTTAACAGATTTGTTTCTTTTTAATGTTTTACCTAAAATTTGACATGCTTTCAGGACAGGTTTGCCTCTTACTTTATTTAACATTGTAGAAATGTAATTAATAGAGCCTCTTACTTTAACATTGTAGAAATGAAATAAACAATGCTCATTACTCAGTTTAGCATAGAAATTCTTTTATATTATCTTCCAAATTGATCAGTTAGCAAAACTTAATTCACCAATAAAATATTTCTGCTATGATGAGGATGTTTACAATTTAAATTTTAGAACTTGTTTTGGATGTGATTATATGTACAAAAATCATTTAACATGCTCATGCTAAGAACCGACATAACAAAATTACTGAAATAAATGTGCTGTGAGGAATGGAAAAAATATATATTATTTAGCAGATTGGTGATTTTCGGAAGGAATGAAGGCTGTGACAAGAGAATCTACCGTATTACACGTATATGAAACAATCTCACTGGAAAGGGTGGGGAAAAGGTGCTGACCTAAATAACTTTTGAATTGCAAGGGTAAAAGCCTGACAACAGAAGAAACTGCATACAGGAACTGTGCTGTAGTTAATAAAGTCATTGATTTACATTAACAATTCTGATATGGCTATACATGTATACTGGAATTAAACAGTTATTTAAATGGAAGTGGATGATAGGAGCCAGGTTCCTCATTTTTGGAGTGGCAATTTACAGATAAGCAATGGGAGGAGGCTAGAATAATCCATATGATAATGGATGAGTGTTGGGAACATCAGTTTTGGCTTAATATAAAAACAGATGGTTACATATAGAAATATTCATGGATGTTTGAATATTCAGGAATTAGTATACATACATATATTTATTTGCTTTGCCAGCTGAGAAGGTCTAAAAGAAACAACACCCAAAACCAATAAGCACATCTGCAGCCCAGATCTTGGTTTCTAATGTCATTCTACAATAACGGGAACCAGGACTCCTTGGAAAAATGGCGGATTCTAGGCTGTGGAAATAGATCATCCTAGAGCATCATGTAATTCTTGAAAGTAAGGAACTCAAATAAATCCCATATTGATGGGGATGTGTCAGGGACGGGAGCCAACTGAAAGGGTTCCTAATGCCCAAATCTGGAACAATTATCAAAATAAAGTAGTGTTAGATTTTAACCCAAAGTATAAAATGAATATCCATGAGCCCAGACTCATATAAATAAATGTTATTGAATAAATAAATAATTGGGGGAGAGAAGAAACATGATCCAGGATTCCTAAAATTTATGTAGATACTGAACTCTGAAGGAGAAGGAGTAGAATTCTTTACTTCTTAAATGGGAGCTGATCCTAGTGACTTCTTTTCAGAGATTTCAGTTTAGGAAATGGGACAAGAGAGTAACTTACCTATGGAGAAGCCTGACAAACACTACCTCAGACAGGTGATCAGGATTAACACCGATACATCATGCTGATAGCATGGATACTTGATGCAATGTGATGAGAATTGTACTTTACCTCTGTAATCTTCCTGCAAAACCCATAACTCCAGTCTGATCATGAGAAAAACAAATCTCGGTAGAGGGACATCCCACAATATACCTGAAGAGCATGTCTCAAAACTGTAAAGACAATCAAAAACAAAGAAAGTCTAAGAAACTGTCATAACCAAGAAGAACCTAGGGAAACCTGACAACTAAATATAATGTGGTATTTTGGATTGGATCCTGGAACAGAAAAATGGCCTAACATAGAAATGAAGAAGATCTGAATAAAGTATAAACTTTTGTTAATAGTAATTTATCAATAGTAATTCATTATACCATATAATGTAAGATGTTAATAATAGGAAAAACTAGATGTGTAACATATGGGAAACTCAGTACTATTTTCTCAATTTTTCTGTAAATTTAAAACCATTCTAAAAAATAAAGTCTATTTTTTAAAATGTCTATTTAGCCAGGGTAGGTATATATTAGAATCAGTACCAGGAGAGATTATTTAAAGATGGACTTTATCCAAGTTTTATTTATCGATCTATTTGTAGTCATTAATATATTTATTAATATTTCCTCCTGGACCAAAAAAGGTAAGACTGATATATTTTTTCCTTTTTTAATTCTCAATGTGCTTCTAAAACCTGCTCAACAAATATTGAATTCATTTGAATTGAATCAGAGATGGTTAAAAATTACAGAGAAAGAAAGCCAGTTGCTAATGTGGAATAAAAATTTTCTCCCATGATTATTTCAAGGGTTTCAATGAAAATGTTGAAAGTTGCTTTAAAAAGTACAATGCATTTTTATGCCACAGAGATATATGCTTTCAGGTAATTACAGTGTCCATGGCATTGCTTGGAGCATCTGATTTAAGAGGTTCCATTTATATTATCAGTTATCTTTTCACTATGTAACATTCATCGTTGTAACAAAATGTTTCAAAATGATTATCAGCATGTCCACAGTTAGCACTGGCATCAAAAGCTACCAAAGTTGGAGTAGGTTGGTATTATTCTATCTACCACAACATACAACTCACTTGCAAATTGTGAAGCATAACAACAAGAATATTCCTGAGCCTACCGCCCAATGTAAGAATTAGAACCATTGATTGATATCAATGAATAAATCTATTTGCTTCTTCTATATCCCAAATTTTTTATCAGAGGCAATCATTGTCTTGAATTTTGTAGTTTAATCCTTTTGATTTAAAAATAATTTAACCACAAATATATCTTTTAACAATATAATGCTTAGTCTTGCTTGGTTTTTGTTTTGTTATTTGAGCTTTAAAAAAATGATATTAAGCTGGATGCAGTCTTCAAGCACTTGCTTTTTCCGTTTTACTCTGTGTTTCCAAAACATATTTATTTTGTTGCTTGTAGCTACAATTCATTCATTTTTTTTCTGCTAAATATTATTAAATTGGGGGCATTTATTTTTTCACCAGCCTATCAATAAATGTCTGAGTTTGTATAAGGCAGAATCTAGAAAGAAACAGAAACCACTGTAGGTACTTCAAATAAAGGAAATTTAACATAGGGATTTAATTAAGTAGATAATGGAAGAACTTAGAAGCCAAAAAGGATACAAAACAGCCCAACAGCAGGAAACCACTAAAACGGCTACATCTGGAGAGATAGCCAGATAGAGCAAGAGGCGCTATCAGAATTGAGAAGATGAGACTCATGAGAGCTAGAATCATGGCAAAGGCTGCCTTGCACGACCTGGAACTATCTAAACAATGATTGATGAGAGGAAACTACATCCACAAGGGAGACAGTAGAAAGATAAGAAGAAAAATAAACTGGGTTTCCCTTTCTCCCACCCTTCAATACTTTACTATTGTTTTCCATTGGTCAAACCTACTTGGAAACCAAAAAGCAAAGGGACCTAAGAAACAGAGTCTTCTGGGATACAAGTTCAGCATGGAAACTGGACTAATGAGCTCAAATCTGTGTTTCCGTGCTGCACCAGCCTAGGCAAAAAGAGTAATATTTTTCTCAAAAAGTACATTTCTCTGGCTTCACTGTCACCAGCTATATGAAAACTCCATTCCACACTCAAATTCTAGCCAAGTGGTTTTGAAAGCTGTGAGGAATCAGTGCATATATGCTTTCCAAATCCTCTTGGTCACCATTAAGTGTCTATCATTTTTTTTGCATTATTTTCTGACTTACTGTGATACCTCTGTTGATGCTGCTTCTTTTTTTTTATTTGAAGAAGTCCTTAATGCTGGTAATATATAGGTAGTGTGGATATCTATACCAAAGACATCATCTCCTATCACCATCTTAACTCCTGACACGACACAAAAACTGTTAGAGCCAGTAACTCGTGCATTCATCCTCAATGATCATTGGTGATTTCAGACTAATATCTCTTTCAGGTATTGATACTTTCTAAATTTTCAAGACCTCTGTCATTGTTTGGAATATAAGGATTACTTGAGTGACACAGGCTACCAAGAATCTACTAAGCATCTTTGCTAAGCATCAATGTTTTTATTTTTGTTCCACACTGATTCATTAGCCTTGAATAATAACTTGAACAAGCCTCTTGGCTCTCTCATTCTGCAGGACCATGTCCATGCTTCTAAAATTGGCTTGCACGTAGGGGTTGCAGAAATGTGCAGGGAGGTACTTGGAGCCACGGAATATGCATGTCTGTCATATTGATACATCAGTTTCCCATAAGTGTCAGTTATTTCATAGTAAATATTTCAAAATATTAAACGTCTTAGTTTGTGCTGCTAAAACAAATTATGACAGGCTGGGTAGCTTAAACGACAAGCATTTATTTCTTACAGTTCTAAAAGCTGAGAATCTGGTCAGGGTGCCAGCACAGTTAGCCTCTGGTGCGAGCCCTCTTCTAGATCACAGACTTCTGACTTCTGGTTGTATTCTGACATAGTGGAAAGAGGGCAAGCTAGCCCACTGGTCTGTTCTCAGAGGGAAACTAGTCCCATTTATGAGAGCTACACCCTCATAGCCTAATTACCTCCTAAAGGCCCCATTTCAAAATACTATTACATTAAGGATTAGATTTCAACATATAAATTTGAGGGGAACACAAATATTCAGCTCAAAACATTAAGTAAAAAATCAGTTTTAAAATGTGTAAAATTTGTGATATTTTAAAAGGTAAACATAAGACTTCAAGGAAACTTTGTAGTGCAGCTATGCTCTCCAATCAAACATTCTTAGCTAATGACCTCTCTTCCTCACCCAGTTCTGCCTTTTGGGATATTGTGGTGAGCTTTTCCTACGAGAATCTTTGGTCTTTTATGCAGAGACTCCATGAATTTTAGACATAACTGAATTCTAAAGTGAGCCTAGTCAGAGACTCCTCCATTTACATATTTCATTTCACATCTAAGTTGATTTTTTTTTTCATAATGAAAGCCGACACACATCATTTCACTACATATTTGTTTAACTATATAACTGCTTTCCTAATTAAGCTATAGTGGATGGGATAATCCCATAAAACACCTTTGTTTTTTTTTCCCACTGTTCTCCAAGTTCTTTTTATGGGCAGTCTTATTCCCTTCTGCTCCATGAAATCTTGAAAGTGTCCTAAAACTTCTTGGTCCCTTTTAGTTACAAGAACAATATTGCTTCAAAAATTGTTATTTCTATTTTGTTGATGAGGAAACTAAAACACTAAAATGTTAGGTAATTTACTTGAGGTCAAGTGAGTGACAAGAGGGTAGAGCCAGAAATTTTGTGTCCAGAGTCAGTGCCTCCCAATGAATGAATGAGTGAATGGACTAACGGAAGGGAGACCTTGGAGGCTTAGCAGACTGTTTTAGTAATCAAAATGAGAAACAGTAATGTCAGAACTACGGCTATGCCACTACGAATGGCAAGGAGGAGACAGATTAAATTCATTAAGGGGGTAAGAGCAGTAGAATCTAGTGACAGACTGAATGTGAGAGCTCACATTTGGCAACCGGCCTGACTTAGGCATTCATATCTCAGCCGTAGAATGTAACTTTTGCTTGGACTACTACTTCATCTGTTATCTCATGGTATCCTATGGATAATTATTTAGCTCTAGTCCTTTCTACATATAGTAATCAAACCACTGATTAAGCCAATTATCTTGATGCTTGCTGCACAACTTTGGCCTTCCTATAACATGTCATATTTCAGTTATTACCTACAGCACCAGTATACTACCCTAATAAGATGAGAAAATTTGTCACATAATGAAACTCTGTTTTCATCTTTGAAGTCAGGGCAAAAATAAGCTGCACTAAATATATTCACAAACTATCAATAGCATAAAAATTTGAGAATATGAGTATTGTCATATTTGGTAATGTAATCTAACAATATGAATTTTAAAACCCACAAATACCTTCATGACTGATACAGTTTGGCTGTGTTCCCACTCAAATCTCATCTTGTAGTTCCCATAATCCCCATGTGTTGTGGGAGGGACCAGATGGAGCTAATTGAATCATGGGAGTGGTTTCCTCCTTGTAATAGTGAGTTAGCTCTCATGAGAGACTATGGTTTCATAAGGGACTTCCCCCTTCACTAAGCACTCATTCTTCCTCCTGCTGCCATGTGGAGAGGATGTTTTTGCTTCACCTTCTGCCATGATTGTAAGTTTCCTGAGGCCTCCTCAGTTCTGCAGAACTGTGAGTCAATTAAACCTCTTTAATTTATAAATTACCCAGTCTCTGGTATGTCCTTATGGCATTGTGAGAATGGACTAATACAATGCCTTAAAGTATATTGCCTTTTTTGTAGCATAGCTTAAATGAATAATGCAAAACATAAAAAGGTGTGCACAAAGTGAAAAATGAGAAAATTGAAAATAATTTAAATACTAAAAATACAGGAGTATTTATGTGAATTTAGCTAATTACATAAAATTAAAAATAATAAAATTACCAAAAATAATAGCAGTTTCTGTAGGTTTGTTTTATGCCAGACACTCTTCTCTGTGCTTTACATAGATTACTTCATTTTGTAAAATATTTTCTTTTTTTCTTTTTTTGAGACAGGATCTCACTCTGTTGCCCAGGCTGGAGTGCAGTGGCACAATCATAGCTCACTACAGTCTTGACTTGCCTGGGCTTTGGTGGCTCTCCCACCTCTGCCTCCTGAGTAGCAGGGACTACAGGCACATGCCACCATGTCAGCTATTGTGTGTGTGTGTGTGTGTGTGTGTGTGTGTGTGTGTGTGTGTGTGTGTTTGTAGATGTTGCCCAGGCTTGTCTGAAACTCCAGAGTTCAATCTAACCACCCACCTGGGCCTCCTAAAGCATTAGAATTACAGGCATGAGCCACCATATCTGGCTGATTACATCAGTTAATTTCCTTAATTGCCTTGGAGGATAGAAACCCTTATTCCCACTTTACATGTGATAAAACTGAACTTCAAATATATTAAGGAACTTGACTCAAGTTACTGATCTAATAAGCAGTATATCCAAGATTCTGAGAAAGGCAGTTTAATTTTGTACCTAAATATTACAACAAACTTCTACTAATCTAGGAAATGAAAAAGACATGAAAAGAGAAATTAGAAACTATTTTTGACCCAAAGGAAAAGTAAAAGAGAACAGGTCAAAATTGGGGGAATGCAGCAAAAGCAGTGCTTATCACCAACAATATCCTAGAATTCAAATATGAGAATGAGTTAGTTCCCAGGGCCACAAAGAAGTGAAAAAAACTTTGAGCAGACACTTAAAGACTCAAATATCGATTTCCAAGACTGCTCTCCTCCCAGTCGGCCTGGAACCAAGTTTGTAGAAAATTTCCCCCAACTCATGGGAAGAGTGAGATGGAGGTGGACTACCAGCTTTTCCACC